AAGAACATTCGTGCTATTGTCTTTGCTCTACCTATATTCAATAAAAACAAATCTAAAGATCATCATCTCGATGCTTTTGATGATTTTGTCAATGAATTTCGTAGAGTACAATATAATGGCCCTATACCGGTACTGATTATTGATCAAGACATGCATCGAGTAACTGTAGCTATCGCTCGTCATGGTTTCCCTGTTGCTGAAGTAAATCCCGCTGATTCACATGGTGTTTTTGGTTCATATTGGCAAAATCCGGGACAATCTGTACAAGGAAAATTAGCTCTGACAACAGTCGGTTTACTCGTACAACATCACCTTATTAATCCATTCGTACTCGATACGAATAACTATCACCTCTTAGAAATCAATGAAGGACCTACTTTACGTAGACGAATTATTGTGTCGGATGACAATGAATGACTTATTATCAAACTATCGTCATAAACAATACTTGTTTTTTGTCATTGAATAAGTTTTCATGCTACTCACCTTTTCAAATTCGAGATCACTCTGACCATTTTTCAATATTCAAAATAAAATCGACATAAAAATATATTCTTAAATACTTGAAAAGAAAGACAAACCTACAAATGTAGAAAGAGTTGATTCTAGTTTGATCGAAAATATCGAAATTACATAAATTATTGTGTAGTTAAAAGTAAAGAATTCTATACATTTATTTCATTTCTAGCATTGATGTTCATAAAAAGAAATAGTTTTTTTGCGAGAAGTAAAGACGAAAAAAAACGGAAAGAACTCCAATCAACAAATTAGGTAGAATTACACAAGTTTTATATCTATGTTTCTTTTGTTTCTATAACAAGATGTGACAAGTCGGAAAGAAGATTCCATAAATTGATCAGGCCATCATTGTATCATTCATAAGAGAATATTCATACAATTTTGAATTGTTGTTGGTTTCGACATTCAAAATCTTTGCACCCACATCCACACTCTTATTTCTATTTGATCATCTAACTGCTTAAAATTTTTAACAAAATACGCATGAAAAGTTAAATTTTAGAAAAACTTTTAATTAATCTGTTTTCCATTGTTGAAAAGTTCAAATATTGACTATAAATAATGACATATATAGTTGTATGGAAAAACGATCAAATTATTTCTTTTTTTTGTTTGAAGTGATAGTATGGTTATCAATTATGATCCTAATCATTACAGTAAAGATACTGTCAAAAATGCGTCAAATT